TGACCACATTCAAATAACGGCCTTGCATTCCACCGCATGAGTAAGAGACTGATTGACCTGCTGGAATACCAGAAACTACCGCACATCTAGAGAGAGAGAAAGAGAGAGAGAGAGAGAGCTAAAAACCATTATATAAATATGATTTATTATAAAATTAGAATATAAAACATTAATCATTTTGCATGAATTTAAGCAATATAATAGCAGCAAAAGTCTCAATCTCTTTTTAAAATCCGTTTACATCATATTGTGCAACATGTTCATATGCTGCTCTTAAATATATAAGTAAAGGCAAATTTTTCGTCACTTGGGATTGTTGTTGCCGTTGTTCTCCAGGGAGTTTCCAATGTGAATCTCAGCTCCGTTAATTTGTTCAAAGCGGCAGTCCATCCTGTTAGTGACGATCACTTCTTGAATGATTTGTAGATCCACCATATCCAGCCTCCACCATGGGTTCATCTCGGTTTCAGTGTTTGTACAGTAAAAATCAATACCATCAATGGCATTGTTTGCCTGGAAGTAAAACGTAGATGACTGTACAGCCTTTCCCTTGATTGCAATATTCTCTAGAGAGTAAAACAAGAAAATGTTATTATGTTTTAAAATTCATCTGCACTGTATTTTTTTAATTGCATCATTAGAAAATAATCAGAACATTACTTTCTTAGAAAATTATTAATAATCTACACTGCATTGGTTTCTTCAGATAACATGTCATTTTGATCATTTCAGCTACAGATTAAAGAAACTTTAAATACCTTGCAAGTTATTTGTTGTGGCGTGAATGGCAATGGTGCCTGTTGCAGAAATAAACAGCAATGGTTATATAGGCTGTGTACAACACAGACTTCTGCAGGAGCCTTCGTGATCATCAGGCCCCCGGCGCGTCACTGCAAAAATTTCCTAGACGTCCGGGCTGGGGTTACGCTTTCATGCTACCCTGACTGGTCTACCGTATCTGGGTCACCTTGAGGGGCTTCCTGATCACCAGGATATCCCCTCTTGCTGAGGCATCGAGCGGGAGGTATAGGTGGCATTACGATAACCTTCCTGTGTAATGCTGTCTCAGGCAGTGCTGTAAACAGATGCTTGGAAAACTCTAAAATCCAAATATTATGGTAAGTGCACATGTTAAGCTTTGCGCACTTTTCTACAAATCCACATAAGTGGTAAGTGTGCACGTTATGCTTTGCGCACTTTCTAAAATCCACATAG